AGGAGACGAGGGAGCGACAGCGCTGGCAAAGTTCTTAAAGGTGAAGAGATAGTGGCTGGGCATGGAGTCTCTTCACCCGGAAGTAAAATCGAATTCCCTCTCACCCGCCCCCTTAGGACGACTCGTCTCTCGAAACCCTCAACCTCCGAGCCAACAGCATCCAACCCGCAGGCATCGCCGCTCTCTCCCGTGCCCTGCACATCAACGAGCGGCTTCACACCCTCGACATTAGCAGCAACAACATTGGCGGCGACGGCGGGATGGAGCTCGCCAACATGCTGCAGCTGAATTCCACCCTCCGCACACTATCGATCGCATCGGGCGGAATTTCTGCAACGGGTCTCATTGCGCTCTCCACCGTGCTGTGCAACAATACGACGCTGGTTGCGCTGGACCTTTCGAATAACTTTGCAGTTCCGTACGCGCGCAGCGCGACGGCGGACATCATGAAGCATTTTGCGGCAATGTTGGAGTGTAATTTCAGCTTGACGGTGATTGGGTGTCGGAAAATGAGAATTTTGGATGAGGATGTGCGGGAGTTCTGGGGCAAGGCTGTCGGAGTTAATTTGAGGATTACCGAGCTGGACTTGAGCGCGTGAGTGCGAAAACATTTATCTTCCGACTTCCGACTTGAAGCCCTGCGACATTTCTGACTTTCTGCGTTCTGTGTTTTCAGAAATACAATTACGCGCGATGGCAGTGTGATTCTCTTCAAGGCGCTGCACACCCATCCCTCGCTGACAACGCTTAAGCTCAGCTCCTGCCAAATTCAGGACGAAGGCGCTGAGGCCGTCGCCCTGATGCTGCCGAATAACTATACGCTGTCAACGTACGTGATCAACCGACCGACGTCCTGGCCGCTACTGTGCTTACACTCCCGAATTTTGACTTTTGTTTCGCATTCCTTTCTGTCTTAGGCTATACATTGATTACAACGGCATCACAGGGGTCGGGCTCATAGCAATCGCGAAAGCCTCGCGGTACAACCAGGCACTCAAGCGCATACGTGTATGGGGAAACAAGTGGAATACGGCTGCGTGCGAGGTAAGCATGGAAAGCACCAAGCACCAAGCACTTCACTTTCAAGCACAAGGTATACTAATACAAGTTAACATTGAATGCTCTATTTCCTACATAATCAATCAGGTATGGGCTCCGTTACTGGGTGGTCCGCAGGTTGACGTTCATACAAGCGACAATCTTCGCGAGCGGCTCGCGCGACCCGGTGCTCTGTTCCCCGTTGACGGACGCCGCACCGTCAGCGTGCATGCCAAATCTGTGGACACTGACGCGGCCTCAGGTCGGCCCATTGCGCGGTTTTATGACACGGATGTAGATGTTGTGTTTTATGGAGTGGAAGGGGTGCTTTGTGTTGCACGGCGAGGGGCGAAACCAAAATAGGGATGTGACAGATTTCTTGGCAAGCTCAACTTGTATTGGTCCTTAGAGTTGCATAATGCTGCTCCTCATCATTTGCCGGGGGCGTTGCCAGTTATTTACACAAGTGAGTCACCGTGACACGGCTCTCTTGCCGCAATGGGTTAGCATGTATCTCCCAGACAAGGCCGCCTTATTTGGCTAATCCGCCTTCTTTCGCCCAATGTTTGGAGAATGGCCGGGAGCACTGAAGGGCGAGTTGAGACTCTACTGTAGCTGTGACATCCACACTTTGACATACGCTGTATGGGATGTCAATTTAGAAAAGTCCGCTCGCTTTGCTTCTAGCCCGAAGACACAACCGTTAAGCACTGCGCTATAAGGCGGCCGAAATCTCCCTTTGTCGCGGGTTGTTTCGTGGTGCAATTAGTTACGTGGTGTTGCCCGCCTTCGGTTTCACGGCACTCGGGGGAGTCGATGGGAACCAAGGGTGCCGTACGCGTCATGCGGTGCGACGGCGGAGGGATGTGCGGCTCGGGGGTTTGTTCTGTTCTTGCAACGGGGGGCTTTGGCGGCGAAAGTGAGAAGAAAGTGAGGAAAAGTCCAAGTCCAACGCGAAAAACGCAGCCGTCAACGCGCAAGAAGCAACAGCAGTGGTGTACGCTCGCGCACTCCACGAGCGGGGAAAAACGTTTCTTCCCAACTCAACTTTACTACAAATACCTGCGTCCTCCTTCGTTCCCCCGCCCCCGCCCCGCTCAGGGTTTTTAACGAGCCTTTCCTTCTAATTCACCGCACGAGAAAGTCGTTTGCAATGAGAACTAGCTCTCTTGTCGCCGCCGCCGCCGTGCTTCTTGCCGCGGGCGCAAACGCTCAAAAAGCTCACTCCGGCACTGGGTCCGACGACCCGCCCCGCCCGAAGGACATTTTAACCCTCACAGGCCCGCTCGTCAACAGCTCCTCCTACGTGGCTCCCACGGACCCCAAATACAACTATGTGGAGGTCATTCACAAGTCGTACCTTTTCTTCTGGGCCCAGCGGTCGGGAAAGATGCCGGCTGGTCAACAGCGTCTGGCGTGGAGAGCGGACTCGTTCGCCGACGCAAAGGGTCTTTACGGCGAAGATTTGTCGGGCGGTTGGTTCGAAGCGGTAAGTCTAGACAGCACCGGGAGCAGGCTTCAGTGGGTCTGGTCAAGGGTCACGGGAGCAAAAACCAGCGTATCGTTTCTCACGCCCAAATTTCGGTCTTTTCTCGTACTAGGCCAACACCATGAAGTGGGGAGGGCCGTTTGCGTTCACCGCGGGACAGCTGGCCTGGACCGTGATTGAATTCGGTGATGCTCTCAAGGTGGTGAACGAATACGACGAGGCGGTCAGCTGGGTCAAGCACGGAGCGGAGTTTCTTTTGAACACCTACACCGTCGACGCCGCCACCAACACGGAGCGCCTCATGGGCCTGTACGGCGACTCTGCCAAGGCCAAGAACGGCTCCACCGGCAGTGTCGATATCGATTTCGGCTATTTCGGACCTCCTGAGCTGTACCTGGAGGGCGTTCCCGGCGGGCTTCCTCCCACACCGTACTACTGCGAAGGCTCGCCCACTGTCAACAAAGGTTGCACAGACATTGCTGGCGACTACGCTGCAGCGCTCGCATCGGCCGCTATTGTGCTTCGTGCCACCGACCCTGTCTTTGCTGACAAGTGCCTCACTGCCGCCAAAACGATCTTTGCCTTTGGCCAAAAGTACAACGGCACCTACCAGAACGCCGCGACGCACCCCGAAAGGGGCTGGGCGAACTACCGTGAATGGTATGCCTCGAACAGTGTGGTTGACGAGACCGCTCTCGCTGCAACGTGGCTGCACATTGCGACTGGCGATGCCACGTACCTGCAGACCGCTCAAGCTGCACTTGCGAATGCAGACTTCCCCGAGTATTCTTGGGCCGACAAGGGCATTGCAGCCGCGATCCTCGTGAACAGGATTGCTCCGGATGCCACACTTGCCGCCGCGATCAAGACATTCTTCACTCGCTGGCTCCCTGGCGGTGCCATCCCACGCTCCCCGCGAGGTCTTGCTTTCAACGGGGTATGTTTTGAAGATGTTTGCAAAGCGCTCAACGGCGCTGGGCCGGCCTAATCTTGGATTTTCATTTGTCATTAGCTCTGGGGATCGCTTGCGTACTCAGGATGCACCTCTGCGATCGCACTTGTTCACGCTAAAGTTCTTGCTGGCAATGCCGCCGAGGCACCCTTTGTCAAGCAGCTCCAGACTTTTGCCGTTCAGCAGGTCAACTACATGCTCGGCGACGCTGGCAAATCGTTCGTTGTGGGCTTTGGAACTTCGCCGCCGATCCTTCCTTACCACAAGTCGTCGTACAACTCGATCCTGTCCTACCCGTTGCGTGGTCAGGACCAAGGCGTGGTCGGAGAGGACTTTTTGCTGGTCAGTTTTTCCCACGCTTTTGGTTTCGAGCAGATCCCCTCAGACGTTTGCTAACCGGCGCGCGAGTTTATCTCTTGTTTTCTTTCCCGTCATCAGAGCCGAACACCCAACCGCCACATCGCGTACGGCGCTCTCGTCAACGGTCCCGAAGTTACCGACCAGTACGTGGACGACCGTGAGAACTACGTGTACACCGAAGTGACGCAAGATTACAACGCCGCGCTGACATTTGCGACTGCGGGTCTCATCGACTATTACTCTGCGGCCAAATTCACGCCCTTCTCGGACTGTGACCTGGACCTCGGCTGGAAGCACCCCAACGCCACGCTTGCAAACAAGCCTAACTGGGCTGACGGCGACTGCTACCACACTTGCGCGCCCTGCATCAAACTTGCGAACGGCACGTATGTTTCGGCTACGGCCGCTGCTAACGGCACCAGCACCAGCAGCGCGGCGGCTCCGGACGCAACCAACACCAACGGTGCAGGGCTTCCCGTCAACACGAACAGCAAGAACAGCTCTGCCCTGGGTGTTACCGCGAATGCTGGCACTCTGCTTGCTGCCGCCATCGGCGGTGCGCTGCTTGTGCTGGCTACTTTGTAAAAAGGTGGGCTCTGAACCTTTTTTTGTTTCTGCGTAGTTCATAGTGGTAGAGCGTACAGTCTATAGTCAGTAGTTGTAGTAGTCAACCCCGTTTTGAGATTATGTCGCCATAGAAAATAGAACGAGGACAGTTTGATGTACAACTTTTCGGCCATTCATTGAAGAAAACGAGGACAGTTTTATGTTCAACTTTTCGGCTATTCATTGAAAACCCAAAAAAAAAAAGAAAACAGCGCGCCGTCGTTGTCAAGCTGGCTGCTAGAAAGAACCCCACCCGGCAAACCACGTATATGTGAAAGCGCTTTGCTTGTCCAAAAGTGACCCGCAAGGACAACCAAATTGAGGAAGGTCAGAAACTTCTTCATGCGATTTTTTTTGATAATGCAGGAGGATTGATCGCTTGCGGTTCCTAGCCCGACGAACGTGCTACTGAGCCAACTGGCCCAGAGCAGGAATGTCGTCAGGAAAACGTGCGAGGGCTAGCTAAAATGCCCTCACCGTTTTCATTTAGCTGCGCGCGTCGCGTTAGTGCCCCCTTGACAACGTAAGTAATCCACATGCGCACTTTTCTCATAGGCCCTCGTGGCCGAGTCGGATTGTACGCGGTTCTCATTCGTGAGGTCCCGAGTTCAAGGCCCGGCGGGGGAGAGAAGTAGGTGAAATACCCGAACTCTCGAAAGTATTTTTTTTTTTTATATCTGCTTGTCGCCGCTTCCACTTACCATTGCCATCGTGAAGTGGTGAGGAGCAAAGCTCACATCCACGCATTAATTAGGAGACTGCAAATGTTGCTCCGTGCTGTTATATACGTATAACCCTCCATGATCTTTTGTCAAAATTTTGAACAATCGCTTCTTGCCAAACACATACAATTCTTTGCTTTTTATGAGAATAAAAGTTGAAGTCTTCCTTTTCCTTGGACTGATCCCGCGAGGAAGGGCGATTCTGAACGGCATATTTGGGTTTGAGGGTGCCCCACCTTATTGACAGCTGTCGAGCTTCCTAGCCGCTGGATATCCGAATATACAAGTCGCTTCACATCTTTCTGTTCCCACGCTCACCGCTTATGATAAAGGTTTTCCAAGACGAAGCCCAAGGCGCGGTTGTTTTCATATGTATTGCGTTCACCGGCGAAAATGTTATTGAGCACAGACCCTATCCGCCACATGCTGTCGTACTGGCCTTCGAAGTCTCCATAACAGCCTTGCGCACTACGCTCCACGCGATCTTGCCCACGCAAACCGTGTCTCCTCTCCGTCCGTGCCCCTTGCCCAAGCGCCTAAACTCGCCACACAGCGCATCGCACACCCTCATGCCCTCCGGGCTCACAAAATCCACCGCAGCTTTGATGCAGTCCCCGTAATTCGCGACCTGGTGGGCAAAACCCGCGGGTACAAAAACGACCTCGCCTGGACGCTGATGCAGGCGGATGGGCGTCACATCGTGCAGAGCGCGCAGCTCGGCGAGATGGTGTGGGTGGAGATAGGCGGTTTGGTCGTGGATGGGGTCGTCGATGCGCGCGGGCCGGGGTGCGTAGGTCTCGCGGAGGTATGAGCGCAGTTTGGTAAGCGACGCGGGTGGGAAAAGCTCCCAGATGGCGCCATCGAAGCGATGTGGAGGAATGGAAGGGTCTGCCTGTCGCACGTGCGGCTGGCTCCAGACCATGACATTGGCAGCGTCAGCCACGTCGAGGTGGAGGTTGGTGGTTGCGCCCGTATGGCCTGGGTCATAGCCGTACGCAGCGTATAGTTTTGGCCCGAGGTCTGGCGGGACGTCTTCGGAGGGTATCGCGGCAGCGAGATTGAGCGCGCCGTCAGGAAGGGTGTATGCGGGTGCAGGGAGCATGTCCAGTAACCGCGCGCAGATTTCCGGCAGCTTTTGACGGAAAAGCATGTCTGTCGGCCAGTCTTTTAGCTTTAATGTTTGTCGTGGTTCCTGCGGGGAATCGATTACGGGGTCCGTGTCGCCAACGCATTTGTGCCCGCCGAATCCGTCAAAGAAGGGTCCAAGGGGTGAATCTGGATAAAGCTCGCCAGACACAACGTCAATAAGGGTCGCGTGGTCCGAGCCCGCGCTGGCGCGAAACGCCGCGGGACTCCAGCCGTCTTGCAACCGCACCGCCATATCCGTTACAAAAACTGCCTTGCGGTCCCGCCAGCACTGCTGGAACAGGCCGAGCGTCAGCTCATGCGCCCGTACGATGAGAAGGTCCGGATGTGGTGCGTCGATCAACGCGTCCATATGCGGAATTTCTGTAATAGCCGTTGCAGCTTCCGGGTGTGGCGGCGCGGAGAGCGTGCGACTTGGCGGTGGTTCGTACACTCGAGCGCTGATCTGCTGACGCAAGCGCTGCCCATGAGTTTCGTACCATCCTACCATCCACTCGCGCGCGACTTTCATCTGCTCGATGCTCCATCGCCCAACAAGCAGGAACGTTTCGAGTCCATGCCGCCTCCGATAAGTGCAGCGGTGGATGTTGGTAGCCGCCGGCCCACCGTCGGGATGAGATTTCGGCGTCGTTACTGCTGCCTTTGGACCCCATCCTTCATCTGCACAAAGCAAACAAATGTCCTTGCCGCATCGCATACACATGTAATAAACCTATATTGAAAACAGCTGAGGTTGACAACGTGAAAAATACACGCGGCATACGTCGCCCATACTCTTACATTATAAATGCCTTGCTCGCAGTAGTCGCAAGTTTGCCTAGTTCCCGCGACAGGGGCTTTAACGCAGTGTGGCAGCGCTCCCATCCGGGTGACATGATCCAATTCCTTGTCAACCGTCTCCAGGAATGCGTCCTTTACAAAAAACAACTGATACTCCAAAAAATCCGCCATTGGCGGCCACGCCTTAACACCCGCTGGAAACACATCCTCACGCGCCCACTCTCGTGTCGGCGTTTCAGACCGGAAGCGTGGAACATCCGATGGTAAGTCAGTGGCAGGGTCGACGCTGATGGCTCGGAAATGAATGAATCGACACGGCTCGCCTTTTCTTGCAACGCAAGGGGAGCATTTTTGGAACGAGGCCATAGCTTTGGATGTGCAAATTGTAGTCTGAAGAAGAAGGCCTTCTGCCGCGGGGTCGCAGATCAGCACTGGGTGTGCGCATGGTAGCGACAATGGTTCGGTTGTAACTTTAAAATTTTCAGCGGTCTTTTCATGGAAGCTACTTCGCGAAGCTTGCAGGGCCATGGCGCGCGACGAGGGCCGACCGGCTGGCGAACGCGAAACCCGAAAAGCAGGCTGTATTGCTGATTTTATCGCGGGTGAACTGCTCGCAGGCGCGGAAGAGCCCTGCGTTGGGACGAAGCTTACGTCCACGTTGATGGCGACCGGTGAGACATCGTTAGCCGGCGCATTCACCAAACTTTTCAGTTCGTGCGGCTGAGCTGGTGAGCTGACAAAATGGCCAGTATTTTCACAGTTCTTCGCTGAAGGAACCACAATTGACTCCGCTTGATATTTCTCGACCCTGCCGGCAGGTCCTTGGTCAAGCCCAGTATGTTGAGTAGGAATGACGTTGGTCTCCATTATTGCACCTGCCGCCGAATCCCTTATTGGTAGCTTTGCGCAATCTGAGATTAGTTCCAACTCCACGGGTGGAGAAGGCAATGGGTATACAGACTGCTGAGTGTCTCCCGCTAAGCTGGAAGTTTCAGATACGATCCGCGATGCTTGCGTCGAGTGAAACGCTGTGAGCGGCGCTGTACCGTCGTCGTCGGTCGGCGGCGCTGACGCATGTTCCGTGCCAAGGCCTTCGTCGACGGTACCTTGCCCATTTTTTGATGAAGCAGCGATACAATCCTGAGTCAATTGGACTTGCCTCAAAACCTCCGCCCTGTCTCCCTGGACCCGTGCAATTTCGCCTTTTAGCAAAGCTTGCGCTTCCGGCGGCAATGGCGCATCGCCCGAATCTTCCGCAACGGACTCGACGGACAGCTCGTCAATCTTGTTCTGCGAAGAAACCGTGCCACCTATATTAGCACTGATTTGCTGTCCGAGCGGGGAATACTGCAGTGAAGCAGCATCAGGGGTAGTGCTAAGTTCGTCATCAAAAAACTGGTCTTCGCGCATGTGAGTTGATGAGTCCGCTCTCTGCTGCAAAGGATCTATGTCCGGATTCTCCGCCAGAGCTTCATCGGACAGCGCGTCAATTTCCGGCTGCAATGAAGCAGGGACGCCGAGTTCAGCATTTTCAGCATCACCAAGTGCGCCGTCAACCAGTTCGTCGCTAGGCATGGGGGTTGGCTTGTCCGCCCTTTGTTGCGAAGGAGCACCGACCGAATCTTCAGCCAGCGTGCTAAGAGGCAGCGCATCAGTTTCCAGCTGAAGCAGCGCGGCCGCTCTCTTGTGCAGCGGGGCTTCATCAGAATCCTCGCAGAGCTCGTAACTAGTCGGTAACTTCAGTACCGGCGTCGGCCAAAGACTGCTGGAATGTCGCATTTGCGCGTCCACCCGTTGCTGCAAATAAGTGTCGTCCGAAGAATCAGCGAGCGTGCTGAGAGGCGGCACACCGTTTCCTTTACCAAGAAGCTGAAGCGCTCTCTTTTGCAACGGCGCGTCGTCAGAATCTTCGCCGAGCATGGGACTATGTAGTACCGGTGTTGGTGAAAGCGATGTTGAAGGTCGGCGAAAAGTCTTCAGCCTCGCCTCTAGTGAGACATCATCGGAATCTTCGGCCGTATGCGACCCGTCTCCTTTCTCCAGGCTTCGCTGGGCCAGACTTTTACGCCGTTTCCTCAACGGCTGTGATGTTTGGGCTTCATCGACACCAGCATTGTTGGATGCGTTGAGACCCCTTTTGCGTGTGTTGGCAGGTGTGCTTCCATTCCCTCTAGAGGTCTCGCTGGATACGCGGACGCGCGGCGCCTCAGCTGCCTCACCGTCCGAGTCAGAGGATACAGCGACAGAGCTGAGTTCAGATGAATCATCGGACGAGCTGTCGACAAACCGTGGATCGTCGCGGCGGTCCGCGCAGCCCGCGCGGGCCCTCGGCCGGCGCCGCGCAGGGGACCTGGAAGGCGAAGATGATGGTGACCGAGCGCGAGCTTTTGTGCGCAGCTTGCGGGTCACAGACTCGGTCTTGGCGGTGCGGCCGCGAGCGCTCGAGACAGTCGTAAGACGCTTCCGCGGCGTTCGTGCCGCGCGAGCACGGCTCGGCCCGCGCGAGGGTGATTCAGTATCCAAGGATCCTTCAGATGACGAAGATGGCGAACGAGGAGTCCGTGATTTGGTGGGCGGCCGACGGGCGGAGCCTCCTTTCGGGGTCTTCGCGGCGGAGGGCGACGGCGAGCGCTTTCGTACGATTGTCCAACCCGGCAGCGGGATGGAGGCGAATGCGAGAGGGTTTTCCCGCAGGAGCAGTCGGCGCAGCGGGAGGAAGGACGGCGGCGGGGTGGAAGGTCGCGAGTGCCGTTGCTTTTTAGGCATTTGCGGGTCTGCTCGCACACGTTGGACAGCAGGAAATGGGAAGTGAAATGCCGGAACGCTTTTGGAGGTGACCCGGAAAACGCGCAGCCTTGTTTCCCGTTGCAACCCATCACACAATCAACAACCATGCCGAGATACCAACCACTCTCGCTCGACGCCTCTGATTCTCCACGTCCACGCTCGAAAACTGCATTCTACTGCGGCTGGTGTGGT